TAATATTAGTAAATATTGAGGTATCAATCAATATAATCTGTGATTAATAATGAACATATTTCAAGTTAATTATTTTATGTTATTATACCTACCCACCCCTTATTTTCAAGGTATAGCGACCGCTACACCTAGTAATAGGGTTGGGCGCCACTGTCTACATCTATGGATAAATTATGTACAGATTTGAGTTTTGACTTTTTAACATGATAAAATAATAATAATTGTGTTTATACAATAATAGTAATTATATGTAAATTATAGTTCAGAATAAAGTAATAAAATAAATAATAATACAAATGTCTGTTAACATAATATATTGGACTTTTATCTAAGTACGAATAGTTAACTAAGAAGGTCGTGAGGCCCTGTTTTAGTCGGCGTTGAGGTAGTTCTGCGTGTAAGTTGTAGTACATTAAACCTGATAAACTGAGCAATGAGCTGTGGAAATAATAATATAATTATTAATATAATATCGTGCTTGGCAGGATAGATGCGCAACCATTTCCCGCCTTTAATGAGTTGTGATTTCGGATGGTTCTCGTCTCTCCAGATTCCAGAAGGCAAGTAAACTACTCAGGGTAGCACATTCAAAACATGGTATAATATAAGACTATATTATAGGTATTATAATATATTGTTAATAATTTATGAATTTAATTTTATGGATAATGTCATCATATAAGAAATTCTATCAATACCTGAATAATAAATACAACATCTGTTAAATATATTTTAATTATCAAAGTAATATTATGTAAGAATATGGAAAGTAAAATAGTTTACATTGTAATTAGAAAATTATAGTACGTACTTATATACAATAACATCCGTTCCCTGAATGTATTTTTTATTTATGTAAACAATAAACATACCACCGTTGAGATTTTTAAGAAAATTTTACTTAGGAAATTTAACAACGCTTTCGATGGAATATTTATTTCTGTAATTTAATTTTACCCATCGATGCCCAAACCTTGATTAATCATATAGCTTAAATTTCTTGTAAAACCATTTGTAATCGCGAATTATAACTATAATATTATATTTAATATGATAATTAATAATTAAAATAAGTGTATTCAAATACTATAGACGACAATACGGGATACTCGCCGTACTAAAATAGTGGCGAACAAATTGTTATCATTTCCTCATGATATTGTATATATTATTATGCCTGTATTTTGCAATATTGTTCATGTTAATCGAAAGGAGTAAAATAGGCAACTATTATAACAATATCTAAGGTAATATTGATATTGTAATGATGTTATTTTGATGAGAAACGGTTCGCCACTCGCCAGCTTTCGTATGCAAATGTCCCACAGTACCGTTTACGATATTTGATATACTTATTGATGTATAAATGTATAGAATATGTTGCTGTTAATATTTGTTATCATATTATAAAAAATCTACGTCATACACGACTAAAAACAATATTTTTCATTAGGTAGTTTTAATACTTAAAAAGTTATAAATATTTATTAATTTTAAATGGCTGTAAAGATTAGTGTAAGACACGCGTTTTACAACTGAAGTTTTGATATTACAAATAATACTTGTATAATATCTCTAGTTCGGTTTCGAGTGCCATTAATTTAAACCTATTATGATGTTTCGCAAGTGTTTTCCAAATCTAATGACTACATATTATTATACAGTGTATCTATGTATTTCTTCTGGTTTAGCCTAAATAATATTTACCTATCTCATTCCTCAAACTCGATCCGGTAAATACCATATAGGTATAGGTACTTATAGTTTCCTCATATTATATAATATCGTCATACACGTAGGTATAATGTTTGATAATATTATTTATTTTCAATTAATAGGTACTTAAATAAATGTTGAAGTTGTTAAATTGTTACTTCATATATTAAACGCAGAAAAACCTCGTGTGTGAAATGCGTGAAATCATTAAATTATTCATATAATCAGATTTAGGTTCCGACATTATAGGAACGTCAGAGTTTTTTTATAAATACTCAATATTTTATTATAATTATAATGATCCCCACTATATATTATCTGGATATAATAAATAATTATTCATAATCAGCCGTTAAAATAATTTTATAAATAGCATAGTATCAAGTATGAAGTATTCCTAATGGCTCATAAAATATAGAACTTAATAAAATATAAATGTATGGTATCGTGAGAAATTTTTAGAAATTTTTTTTTTTAATTTATATGTACCCAGAGGTTAAATTATGATGTATGTTGTAAGCGTTTAAATAATAATTTATAATTTTTACGGTTGTGATAAAAATGTAATGTTCTATAGGATATGATGTATAGCCATATAGGTACTTACCTCGAATTTTATTTATTGTTTCAATGCTCAAATTGTAACATATAATATATTAAAAATTGATTTTTTTTTATAAATTTGAAAGTTGGATTTAAAAATGAAAACAAAATATACTATTGACGCGAGCCAAATCTATATCGCTTCTTACAAATACATAAAAAGGTATTAAATTATTGGAGTACTGCTATCTTTCTGACATAGTTTTTATGGATTACACTAACGAAAATATTGATGATGTTTGTAATTTTTTTTGCAGTCAATCACTTTTATCTGTCTTTACTCTTTCTGGTAAATAAATATACATATTAAAGTACTTATCCCGTTCGATCATTTGATATCGGTACAAAATAAAATCGGTAAAGTGATCGAAACAGGTCGTGGCATCATCTATCATTTATTTTACTTAGGAATTTAAAAGTGTCGAAGTGTGAAAATACTGAAAATAGTTATTGTACTATACATATATTGACAATTTATGGAATAAGGTTACCTAAACACTATTAAATGGATCATTAATATAAGTGAGTATTTTAATATGTAATAAATAAGATATTATCTAAGGCTAAGCGTGTAAATTAAAACCGAAAAAATTTTTCTTTTTTAAATTGATTGCCTTATTGGTGCTCAAAAATTAAGTACTAAAATAAGTATTTTAAGATAAATGTTGTTCAATCGTAATTAAAAAACAATAAAAAGAAAATATTTAAAAAAATTCATGTTCTTAAAAACGTATAATCGCGCTTTCGAAACGGATTAGATTTAAAATGAGGTTATTTAATGCAAAATGTCATAAAGTTCGTTAGACAAGTCACAAGTGTATCTAATACATATACCTACGGCTATAGGTACATATAATAAAATGAACTTAAATAGCTGTAAAAATCTAAACTGAATAACTAATCAACCATTTGTGAATGTACTTAACCAGTTGACCAGCCAGTTGTGACGGAAATCATAAAGAAAAAGTAATCGTCGTCTCAGAATGAAAAGGTTCTAAATCAATTTTTTTGAAAAATGGTTTTTTTGCATATTATTACATAATATTTTTTGTTGTATAATTCAATTCTGAAATCTTCTCGATCCGTTGATTATTCAATTAGATACAGAGAATGAAAAGGTTCTAATTCATACGTGAAAGGTACGGGCTAACTTAAAAACGTTCCCCTGAACAGTTACAAAAATTACATTAGAACATTTTAATTCTGAGACGACTCAAACAAGTGCCCCTATCCCACTTAAACTTTCTATTTTTATTTTTTGAAAATAGCGAATAAGAGCTAGTGTTACTGCTTTAACAGTACCTATTCTGATTGCTTACCATATTTAAAAACATAAATATTCCAAAATTTAATACTTATACTCTATTAGTATTCAGAATAACCTTGCCCACTTTTACGCTTTCAAGTGAGCCGCTTGAAGGGTCCGACCCCCTGACGAGATTCAGCAACGGGTAACGGTAGGGGTTGACAACTTACAACCAATCACAGTGCACCTGACTCTTTCCAGGGGGTCAGACCCTTGTTGGGCCGCTCAGTTGAAAGCGCGAAAGTGGACAAGGTTACCTGTATAGATAGTTTACAATAATAGTTTAATTTTTTTTAAAAAAAGTGAAATAATTAGATGTTATAAGTTGATGTGTGACTGCGTGAGTCTTTAGATTGGGCGGGTGACTATAAATTTCAAAGTAGGTACTAGATAATTGAATTATAAAACATGTTGTACGACAAATTCTACATTCATAATATAATAGATACCTACATAAAACATCAAAAATAACTCGTGCACCTATATACATAATTTTTTTACTTAAGATTTCAATGCTGAAATATTAAATTCAGATTTTTCAGCAGTATTATTGTTAAATTTATGTAATAATTAGGTAATAATACTTCCGGATAGAGATCACTCGTGTTTCCAGATTTGTCCTTAATATGTGTATTCATAGTTCACAGCACAAAAAAAACCAAGTTAATATCAATAATAAATAAATTAAGTTAAGATAGTCTCAATGACTGAACAATAAATATTTTATCCATAAATATAATAATTTTTAAACTCAAATAATAAAAGTTTAAACTCGACAAAATTAAAATAATGTATCATACTATTTGTACAAAAAATTCGACGACTTGAAAAATAAAAAGTATTTATTTCGGACACTATAATAAGTAATAATAAATAAGTATACGTTTTAACGTACCTACCTATAACACTAACTCCAAAAACAATAGTGCCGTCCTAATGTCCTATTAAAATGAATAGGTGCGCAGTAGTGCAGTACCTACAACCTACCACCTATACTGCTGATGACCAACATTAATACTCACACGCTGATTGTTTGTTTGTTTTATGTAAATATAGAAAAACGATTGTTTAGATATAATATATTAAATTATATAATATGGATGCGAATATTATTACAATGCGTCGCCGGACGTTGCGAAATGCAAACAAATCACTGCAGTCAGCGACTCGCCGCGGGTAAATACCATCGAAACCTGTAAAGATCGAGAAGTTCAATTTTTTTCGAGTTTTTCACCCGTTTTGCACCCGAAATCGTCCGGAACTCCACGCCAACCGCGGGGTTAGGTAAAACGGCTTCGTCGTCTGCAGCTCCGTACAAACAGTTCCGATTTTCGCACAATACACAAGACCTGCCTTGAAGTCGACGACAGTAATAATGTCACAGATGACGTCCGATGATTCGCAGCAAGTCGGCGGGCCTTTGCAGCGGTGCCGTTGCGATTATCCGCAGCCGCCGGACGCCGATCTCATAACGGTGTCGGCCGCAGTGGATTCAGCGGCGGAGGCGGAAGCGCAAAGGAAACGGCAGCAAAGGCTGCAGCGGAAGCGTGACGCGGAAGGAGAGGTGGAAAAGTCCTTTTGGAAACGGTGCACGACGGCGTTCGTGACGGATTGCGCGGCTCACGTCAGACGCGGCGCCGCCCGTCTGTGTCCGAAGTGTTGCGACCGGTGAACAAAATTATTCGTGTACAATACAATAATATTATACCCAGGTATAAATTATACGTTATTGTTATAATAATTTCGGTATACCGCACACGGCGTATAAAATATTGTCACCATTATACCGATCATACTGATTTTACTGTACGTCTCGCATAACTATATATTACGAGGAAACAAAGTGTGATGAACGAAATAATTAAATGACGAAGGACTATTAAAATATAACTTATTATCATTTTAAAAATATTATTATTAATATTTATTTATATACTATTCTAAATAATTCCTCGCCAAGTAAATAAATTATACCGTGATTCTGAATTTAATATAAATTTCCATTAAAAAGTTCACACTTTTTCATTTATAACTTAATTTCTAATGATTTTTACAAAAGCACGTTCTACACAGTATTTATAATGTTTTGGAGTTTACTAGGAGTTAATTGATGCATTAGAAAATTAGTTATGTCGTATAACAAATTTACCTGTATTTTACACAGTTTAAAATAATAGGCAACTCATCCTGCTTCGATATACACACACCGTATTGCAGTTATTTTTTTTTTTACTTAGCTTGCGCCAAAATACAACATACATTTTCTTTACTCCATTCAGTCATATACAACATACACATTTTCTGTTTGGTGACTTGGTGTTAATACTTACAACAGTATTGAAGTATGTTTTTAGTTCATAACTAAATTGTCTTTTATATACAACTATATATTTATAATAATTTTTAAATTGTATTTTATTTATTAATAATTCTATTCATCTAGAGAATAAAAATGAAATCATTAATTGCACTGTACTTATAATATCTAGTATTTATAACGGGTAGCTTAAATAATTACATTAGAATTAATTTTTGTTATTGTTATTTTTGGCTTTAATGTGTATTCCTGTCAATAATACCTGTTTTGACAGTTTATTTTATTTTTTAAAATTATTATTAGGTAGGTACTAATTATTCTAAATTGTAGTTTACAGTAATTCTGCGTGTTATATACCTCATCACCACAAGTTTATCTTAATACAGTGATGGATTTGAGGGAGGTTGGACGACGTGGCGATTACACCCCCCCCCCTTGGGATTTTTTTTACTTAAATAATAGCACCGTATGATATAATGAATATGAAATTCATAAGTCATAACTATAACTTAAAACTTAATAAAAGATATAAACAAGGTATTTTTTTTAACATCTTATCAATTATATTGTTATTTGATTATCTATAGGTACAAATTATCGAATTTAAATAACATGATTAAGTTCAAAACAAATTTGAAATTGGTTATAACCATAGATAATAAAAGAATATTTTCTTGGATATAACCAAAATTGCTGTAGACAACTTAAGCTACAGTTATAGTTTTAGATTATAGATAGAATGAAAAATAAAATCATTTTACCGCCAAGCAGTGCTGCAGCGTGCTGCACCACCGTATACATCTGTTGGGAACGGAAAAAGTCTCGGGGAAAAAAGTTCATATATTTATTAAAATAATTTTTAAAAGTTACAGCGATAACAATTTATACAACTAGGATTTTTATAGTTATGTAATATTTTTTTCTATTCTGACATCTAACTTAGTAGTTTATAGATAGGTATATTTTTTTAATAATATTATTGACTAAGATTCAATAATATATTTTTTTATAATTTTATAATTATTAGCTATTATTTTTGTTTAATATCTATTTTGTATTTATTAAAATAATTTATAGAACTAGGATTTTTGTAATTATGTAATGTAATGTAATTTTCTGTTTTGTATTTAGTAGTTGCCTATTATAATATGATTACATAATTATTAGATATTATCTTTAGAAAACAGACTTTTTACCCGCAAGACTTTTTTCCTACCATAAAATCTGTTATCACTTCATTTTTATAAAATAAATTAAATATTATGTTCACTGTGGCTGTGGTAAATAACTCAATTTTAATATTGAGTGCTGAATACTTTATTTTCATTGTTCATTGACAGATTTGCGGATGGTAAAAAAATAACCATACAATTGTTGCTCAAATAAATTATTAATACATTTGTTTATTTAATATTTAATAAAAGAATGTTGAATTTTTAAACGGTTTCATTTTTTTTTTATTTATTACAAATGTTTATTGACTAATAAGTAATATTATGTATATATTGAAATTCTATGATACCAATTCATCCCCTCCTTAAATGAGCTTCAGATCCGCTACTCAATAGATGGTAATCTTTGTATATAATTTGTAAAGAAGAAAAATAAAAAATAAAATAAAAACAATTTTTTTCACTAAAAATGTTCGTGTCTGTTTTATGATTTATATTTATATTTACAATAATACAGTACTAATTTTATTATTGAACACAGTGATTTTTTTTAGATTAAATTATGAGTGAGCAATATGTATCATTATAAATATAAATTATAAATAGTTTAAAATATAATATATTTAATACAATACAGTATTATTTTCTTTACAATTATTAATACAAATCGAATATTTATTTAATTAATTTGTACATGCACTATATTAAAAATAAACAAATTTGTTGGTATATATTTAAGGAAGGATCTTTTTTTCTGTGCATTTTAATACCCAATGATTTTATAAGGTCAATTTATATATTTATCATAATATGAAACTTCAAGAATAAAACAAGAACATTTAAAATGTATTTAGGTACCTACTGGCTACTAAATAGGTACATGACACGAGGATAAATTATTCACATTAACGTATTAGATTTTGTTAATTTAAATCTATTTAATAGAGATATAATATTTTTTAAGATTAAAAAAAAAATAATTAAACATAATAGGTAATATGAAATAAACAATTTTTTTAATTGTTTTATTTTAATTATTATTAAAAAGATATTGACTTGCTTATAAATTATATTTTACTAGATTTTTTAACTTAACAATTAATTCTGATAAATACATTCATAATAGCATTGTTCAACGAATTTACAAGTCGTAAATATATAATAAAAGTTAAGTATACAACCAAAACATTGAATTTTTCTAAAATTATAAATTTCAATCATAATTTTGTATAGTATTACTATTGATTATAAACACTAACTAAATAAAAATTATCGTTTAAAAATAACCAACATTTACTAAGGTTTACGATCTATACTAACCGCATACGTCATATGATTTATATATAATATACATACACATAACCAAATACAAATATGTATAACAATACAATTAGGTATATATATATATGGGTGATAAATACGTATAGGTATTTAGTATTCTCGAGGCAGAGAAACGATGGTTAAAATAATATGTTTTATATACACAGTGTAATAAACAATAATAATATTATAATAGGAAATTATAATAAACACGTAAGACGAAGATTTTTAGTTAGGGGGATGGAGGGTTGTGAGGGGTCCAGTTGTGGATGGGCAACCCTTTGATCAGCAAATGGGTGGCTGACATTGTTTGCAGTTCTCCATCTGAGTTTCGAATTCTTCGATTTGTAGAGTGCAATCGAAGAAATTGTACTTTTTGTACATCCTGCGCGAAGCTTCTTTCAGAACTGTAGTAGTGTTCGCGCCGGGCCCTGTAAATAATAAGAACACACAGGTCATTAATAAACCCACCCAGATGCGATTATAATATATTATATTGATATAGGGTATGTCGTGTACATAAGCTGTTCTCGACATTTTTGAGGCAAGCAATCGGAAGTCTTCTCTCTGTCTACTATAAGTGACCATTACTAAACACTTATCTTATCACAGCATGATGTGCGCATAAACGACGTCTATGATTATACTCACTGACTGCTAGATGGGCGGCCAAAGCAATTTTGTCAGGACTCAGGGCCCACACCCTGAGATTGTGCACCCTAACCACGCCGTCGATGCTCATGAATGTCTCCAGGACATCTGAGAAATTTACTCCTTTCGGCATGCCTTCCATCAACACTATCATTGTATCCCGGAGTATATTGAACGTAGTGACCAACACTAATAAGGAAAACATGAACGTACATATTGGATCCACGATCTTCCAATCAGGCTGAAAAATTAAATAATTATTAGTATATAGGTGTATAATATCCCTATATGTAATTTGTATGTCCTAACTTTTTAAATTTTCATTTCACATTTTTATAGTTAGATATTAATATGTTATAAATTATATTTAAAAAGTAAAGCAAACGGTTTTTATTATTATTATTATTATTAAAAACCCATGGCAACCATTTATAAACAAAAATTTCCATAGGAAATCTGAAAATTCCCGTTTTAGCACCTCCCGGGGTTGATCCTCTCCCTTTTAAAATTGTTCTATCTTTTAAGTTCGGCCAAATTACACACATCGTAAAAATGTCATCAAGATCGGTCCAGTAGTTATGGAGTTTATTCCGAACAAAGACGTGACACGAGATTTTTATATATACTGATCTACTTCAGGTAGATTGCCTAACTGGGCAACGGAAAATTAAGATACATTTTGAACACCATACACCGAATATTAAATAACGAATTGAACAAAGTTTGAGTCATATAGAGTTGATACATTTAACGGGCAACGAAGTGCACGGGATCAGCTAGTAATATTATATATTTATATTTTATATGCAACAATGAAGATAGGTAGTTGGTGAGATGTAATTTAAAAACATAAAATATTTATTCTTAGTTTAAGATATTTTAGTACTCAACATTCAAGTACTAAAAGTGGGGATGTACACTTTAAGGTAAAAATATGTTTGATACACTTGGTAGCTTCTATTTTTATTACATAAATAAAAGACCAGTGGAAAGTTAAAAAATAGCGGATATCTATGATGTATTTTCCCTGAAAAAATTTAAAAATGCAAAAAGTAAAATATTTTTTTAAGTCGGCGAGATATGAAAGGAACTTGCGAATAATTATTAAGGCGGCATCTAAATTATAAGTAATGAAAAACTAAAATTCACAATACAAAAAACAATAATTTAAGTCGACGATCGACAACTCCTTGAGTTATATATTAATATTTT